TATTAACCAGAGTCTAGATTTAGAAACATAGTTATAAAATAGTGTGTAAATTGGTTGTATGTAGGGCACATGGTGCAGAAACTTGGTCATGAGACGCTCTACCTGGGCTAAAGCAGTGGTTTTGGAAAAGGAAATGATAAAAGGGAAAAAAATTGCATGAATGAAGGGAAGTGGTGATCAACTACATACAGAAGGAAGTAAATGTGTGCGTACAGAGGGAAGCATCTGTGAATGTAGGACATAGGTGGGTCTGTGGTGTTGGGGAATGAAAGCGAAAGATATGTCAAAAGCACAACTTCCAGGGACTGAAAGGAGGACTGGACTAGGAGTCAAAGCTCCTGCTTTGGGTGTTTGTGTGAGGATACACAGGCTGTCATACACAACTGTTGGAGTGTGAATTGGAACAAACTGCCGAAAGAACCATTTGGAAAAACCTACAAAAAAATTAAATTCACATACTCTTTGTCTTAGTAATCCCCTGCTTAGGAATTTATTCTAAAAATATACTGGTACAGGTGTATGTAAAGTCGAGGATATTCACTGCAGTACTGTTCAGAAAAGCAAAGAAATGAAAATAGCCATCAATCAAACAAACAAAAAAGAACACTGCCATGGAGTTGATTCCAGCTCATAGCAACCCAATAGTACAAAGAAGAACTTCCCCATTGGGTTCCCAAGGCTGTAGATCTTTACAGAAGCAAACTGCCTCATCTTTTTCCCACAGAGCAGCTAGTGGGTTTGAACCTTCTGGTTAGCAACCAACTGCCTTAACCAGCACACCACCAGAGCTCCTCCAAATGGCCATCATTAGGGAATGGTTAAACAAATTATGGATTATCATCATTATTGAAATAATGCACCAATTTTGAAAAAATGCAGTACCTCTATATGCATGGTTACACATCTCTAAGATATGAAAAAAGCAGGGTGTAAAACATGTATATAGTATGTCTTCTGGTGTGTCAATATAGACATACAAATATACATGTATGTGTGCATACATACACGTCTATTACAAACATAATACATGTGTGTGTATGTGTATAAACCCACACCCACACTTATTTATGTATGTTTGTATGTGCCTGCACCACTTTAGGACATAGGAAAAAGGGTTAACAGAAGTTGCCTTATGAAAGAGGATTGGTGATCTAGGGTGAAAGCTCTAATATAATTTTCATTGTATTATTTGTTTGCTCTGTTTGAATTTCTTACCCTGAAAACCTTTTGAAATAAATTATTCAAGTGACAAGGATAACAAAACCCTAGCATTTGAGACCTAATTTAAAAAAATAACAAAACTCTAGGCAAATGGCATAACCTCTTTGTACCTTAGTTTCCTCAGCTGTAAAATGGTCACAGAGAGCCTCTTCTCTTTGCCTATCTTTATGGAGATGTTATTAGAAGAAAATGATAGATATAATGGCATAATGCTTTTAGAAGTATTTTTTAAAATTTAAACTCTTTTATGAATAAAAGGGATTATTATAGTATACATTTAGAAATAAATTTAAGAGAAGAATACATTATATTTCTGCCATTTCCTAAAAATGTTTTAAATTTTCAGTTTTCAAGTTGGTACAGGCTCATTCTGCTGGATGACAGAGAGAGAGGGAAGATGGATATCTGTGTTTTCATCACAGATTGCTTCAAGAACTTGAGCTTGCCCTGCTACTCTCCAGAATCTTTTGCATTCACTTAAAAAGGTTTATTAGGAAGCTACTATGAGCCAGCAAATGTGTTAGAATCTGGGGATCAAAGCCATGTCTGCTTGGAGTGCAGAGTTTAGTTGAGAATCTAGTGCTGTGCTGTCCAATACAGTAGTCACCGGTCATGTGTGGCTGCTGAACACTTGAAATTTGTAGTAAATTGAGATGTGCTGTTAGTGTAAACTACACAGCAGATTTTGCGGACTTAGTACTACACTAAGAATGTAAACTATCTTATTAATCATTTTTGTATTGATTACACATTGAAATGATGTTATTTTGGATATATTGAGTTAAATAAACATACTAAAATTAAGCTCACATGTTTGTTCTCAGGTTTTAAATGTGACTTGTAGAAAATTAAAAATTCTATATGTGGCTTCCACTTACAGCTCCTCTTCCATTTCTATTGACCAGGGATGAATAGACAACTGAAACACAGATCAGGAAGTGGTACAAGAGATGTAAAACTTCCTAGCTTTGAAAAGTCAGGAGGACTTCCTGTAGGAACTGAAAGAGCCAATTTTGAGTCAATTGATTTTCTTTCAAAGAAAGAAAAGCTATACATTTTCCATCTAGGTGGAATCTAAAGAAAAGGTTTTAAAGATTTCTTTCATCTCTCAAGGTTTATTTTTCTTAGAGAAAGAAGTTATATGAACATGCTCTGAATTTTGAGGGTGTTCCTTTCAAATTATGTTAATAACCCTACAGTTGGTTGGTGTGGTTACTGATTTGTAAACTCTGTGGATGCAGGAGAAATTCTTTTCTAGCAAATCAAAAATCCACTGCCATCAAGTTGATTCCAAGTCAGAACTCCTATAGGACAGAATGGAACTGCCTCACAGGGTTCCCAAGGCTATAAATCTTTAAGGAAGCACATTGCTACATCTTTCTCCTATGGAGCAACTGGTGGGTTTGAACCACTAATCTTTTGGTTAGCAGCCAAGCACTTAACCACTGTCCCACTAGGGCTCCTTTATTTCTAGATAGCTTAGCTTTAAGATACAAGTGATTCCATTGAGGAAAACACGAGGGTCCTTGGAGTAGGTTCCTGCCCTGTGTGTTATCTATATTTGCATGTGTGTGCAGGTTTACATATGCTTAGGTATATATGTATTGGTAACATGTGGGCTGTGCTAGCTTCTCTCTAGGTATATTCAAGTGCAAATGAGCAACTAGATATAAAATGCACTTGCAACACCATAGAGTAAATATTAGGCATGCTAATAGTAAGCAGATGTCCCATAGATAGGGGATGTTCCATGCAGATAAGGGATACCCCTATCTCTTTTAAATAAACAAAAATCTCTCAGGTTATTTACCTTAGAAATTCTATGTCAGAAGGTGGGAGTCTGAGCCTTCATCAAAAGTTTCCAATTCACAAAATCTTATCCTTCCAAAGATATTCACTGTTAAATTTAGCACAAAAATTAAGCACATAGACCTTGAAGTCCAGTAAGCCTGGGCTCAAATACAGGCACTACTGCTCTATACCAGTGTGCTGTTTGCTTAACTGCTGTGATCCTTGGAGTAGGTTTCTTATCTAGACAATGAAGACAGTAATAAGAACCATTGCATATGGTTGCTGTAAGGTCTGAATAAGGTTCACAGGACTAATGATTAACATGGTTCTCAGTACACAGTAAGTGCTCAACATTTATTGGCTATTCTTCTTCTTCTTCTTCTATAGGTTCTTTGAAACTTAGATTGCATTTCCTCTAAGAATGATAGAATTGAGCATTTTAAAGAAGAGAATAGCCTTATGGCTTTCCTTGTACAGACCCTCTGCTTCTTCACTCCTTGCCCCTGGCATTTCTTTCAGAAGTCTGAGGAACTTATGTTCTGACATACCACATACTAACCCTGACCCAGGTCTTAGTTTGGACATCCTTTTCTGGGACAAGGAATGAGGCAGGCCTGGTGATGCAGTGGTTAAACTCTCAGCTGCTAAGTGAAAGTGGTTTGAAACTATCAGCTAGCTGCTTCATAGAAGAAAAGACCTGGCAATCTGCTCCCATAAAGATTATGCCCTAGGAAACTCTGTGGGGCAGTTCTACTCTGTCCTATAAAATTGCTAGGAGTTGGAACCAACTTCATGGCACACAATAAAATAATAGGGATTAGGGACTAGGAACTAGGGATGAAGTGTAGAGAGAAAGAGGTAGCTCCCGTTCAGTTGGTCCTGTTGGGCCAGAGCTTGCTTTCAATCTCTCCTTCCATTCCCTTTTCTATATCTACGTGGATCCTGGGATCGATTTTAAAGTGATTTCCTGACAACTTCCTCAGGGAATAAACCAAATTATTTTCTGTTGAGTCAGTTCCAACTTATGGCAACCCCATGTGGGTCAATGTAAAACTATCCTCCGTAGGGCTTTCAATGGCTATGATCTTTCAGAAGTAGATCATCAAACATTTCTTCTAATGCATCTCAGGGTTGATTTGAGCCACCAACTTTTTGGTTAGCAGCTGAGCTGCCTTAATTATTTGTGCCAGCTAAGGACTCCTTCCTTAGAGAATAAATCTACACTAATGAATCCAGACCACAGCTTCTGATCTTCATTACAAGTTTGGTATTACAAACATAGTATGTCTGAGCTGGAGGGACTATTAAAGATCATCTAGACAAGGATTGGCAATTACCTGGCATATGTGCCACAGGTCCTTTTCTTAGCAGACACTCTTCTCCACAGAGGACCAGTGGTCAGGGACACAGCTGGGCTTGGGACCCAGTTCCAATGACTCCTGGGCCAGGGCTCTCTTCATTCCCTAGTAACCTCCACACATGTAACATATATTCTCTGGGTCACTGCAGACCTCACATATTCTCCTTATGAACTGGGATGAAGGCCTCTTGAAGCACATCACTTCTCTCAGGCCCAACTCTGGAGTCCAACTGTCAAGATTTGAACAGCTGTTCTGCTATTTCTACCTTTCCGACATCAATGTCGGTTGAGTGACTCAACCTTTTTCAGCCTGGCTTAGATTGCATTTCTCATGTGCAAAATTGGAAAATAATTATACTTTTCCCAAAAGGATGCCGTTAGGGTTATATAGAAAGTATTTGGTGTACTTTCTGGCATATAGTAAGTATTCATAAATATTAGCTTCTTGTTTATTGTTGTCTTGTTTATTGTGTATTGTTTTGTTTCTTGTCTATTTTTGCTGGTAGTAGCTAAACTATCAGCATCTTTCTTAGAAATATCTACCCCACATGATGTTGTTCACATATTTATAATCACAAGCAAAAAGGTGGTCTTAGTGTAAACCAGTGGGCACTGTGTGGGTACTCACCAAATCAATTATGCCAATGTTATTCCAGCCTTGCATTATAGGGAGAAAAGAGATAAACATGGGAATGACCCAGCAGCCTCCCAGCATTAGTGCGATGCGCAGAGGGGTCATCTTGTTCCTATACACCAAAGGCTGGCAGCAGATAGCATAATACCTGGAGAGAGAATAGAAGGAGTGGGTGCAGTGGGTAACAAAAAATGGGATAGATAGGAAGGGAACAATAATAGATGACAGAAAACAGGGGAGAAGGAAACGAATGGAGAAGGGTGACAAAGAAGGGGAAATATTGAGGGACATGAGAAGAATTGGAGGGGGGAAGCAGAGAATACAAATGAGGAAGGAAGAAAAGAGAGAATAATGGAGAAAAAGTGGAGAGTGGGCAGTTGAAGATGGGAGAGAGAAGCAAGAAAAGAACAGAGAAAAGAAAAATGTGATTATACAATAAAACATGTATACTGGACAATAAGTTTCTGCTAATATAAATGTATACTTCAGGTCATATCTAATCATCATTGCCTGGAGTCTGTCCACACTCCCCTTCTCTCAGTATCTGGAGAAATTCAATGCATATCTAAGGGCCTGAGCATTTTAAAGTATTTTGTCCAGCCCTCTAGATCTCAGAGTCCAGTTGCCTTGTGGTCTTCTTTGATAACTGTTTCCAACATGAGGTGACCCAGGTTTGGTTGGATACCCCAGCTCTGACATCTAAATCTCTGATCTGTCCCCTTCCTCTTGATCACTCATCTATACTGAGATAGTGTTGTAAGATAGTATTCCTTAAATTATGGGTCCAATAAACTTTCCTACATCAGATTCACATGAGGTGATCTATTTAAAATGCAGATTCCCAGGATCGATGGCTCATGAGTCAGAACCTTTTGAAAAGGAATCTAGAGTTTGCATTTTGACAAGCATTACTGCTGTTGCTATGTATGCTAAGTCCCTTCCCCCACCACCACCTTTCCAGGTGCATGTACTTCTTGGCCTCCTTGTGGTTGGTTAGGGCCAAGAGACTGTCTCCGGCCAATGAATTATGAACAGTATTGACATGTGTTACTTTTCCCCTCAGTCACAGTGCCAGGAAATGTTCAAGACTTTGTCTGCTCCATCAGCCTTTATTTCAGGGTAAGGATGAGTGGAGCAGAATCCTCAACTGACCCATAATGAACACAGGTCATTGAAAGGCTGTTTGTTGCTGCAGCATAACCTAGCCCATCCTGCCTGGCTGACATGTCCAACCCCTCAGCAGATTCAGATGCATACTGAACATAAAAACCTCTTCTCTGTTTCAGAGCCCTTTCTTATCATTTCTGAATCCCCATAGATGTGCCTTGTGCTAGAGGTTCCACTTCTGCTTTCTCTGATGCAAAGAATGTAAAATTTCAAGTATATCTTGTTCCATCTTTTCCTATCGGCTGGTAGGGACACCCCCATTTATCTAAATCTGACTGTCTTCATGGGATGCACTGCTCACCCTTTTTTGAGTCCATGTTCTGCCTAGCATTAACTTTATCCTACTCCCACTTCTGGGTCCTTCCCCTTCAACCTTTCCCACTCAGTAGTCTAACCTTTAATCCCTAGACTTCTTCAGCATGTTATTCTAGCCTTGGATGTCACCAACTCAAGGCCCAGCATGTCATGAAATTTGACGAGGTGCAAAATACTGCAGTAAGTCTATCAGCTATTTGTCATTGGAAGAGTCAAAAAAAAAAAAAAAAAAAAAGTGCAGAAAGAGAGAGTGAAGGCTAAATCTATTTTTGAGGATTTTGTATTATTTCATGATGATCCACCCCCTTATACCCCTCATTTTATGCAGTTTCACTTTGTTAATTTTTTCCACCTCTTCTTTTCTTTTCTTAATTCAAAGCATAATTAATATAACAATGGCTATATTTTTTAAAGAGGTGGTGGTAGTAGGATGAGTTGGGAGAGAGGGTGGAATGAGAAGGAGAGACCAGCATTGGAGTATAAGTGGATGGCTTGGGAGCTGGGAAGGGAGAATTATACTCTCCCAACCTAGATAGCAAGGGGATGATGATCACACTGTGCCAGGAAGCTTCCTGTGTCTGGAGAGCCCAGTGAAGGTGCTAATATGAACCAGAATGCAAGGAATGACAGATCAAAGAATAAAGAGAAGGCCTTATTTTCTCTATGTATAAAGGCAACATAGTAGCAAAATCTAACTAAAAACAACTCGGTAATGGAAAGAACCATGCTAAGCTGTAACTCGCTCCATGCTTTTGAATTTTATAAGACACATTTTATATAGGTTTTGGTGAGTATGACATGGAGTTAATGCTCCAAATTTTTCTTCCTTTCTCATTTTTTGCTACAAGACCAAGATGGGACATTTGATTTTGTCCATTTAGCATCCTTCCTCCTTTCTCTTGGTAATACCATCCCAACCCCTACTGGGAAACTATATCCCTCTACTCTTGCAGTGTTTTAGGGAAAGAAAGTGAAAGCACTCTGCCTTTTCTATTCAAGGAGTGGCCCAATCAGAGTTTCTCCTGTGATTGAGTGTCATGCAGAGTGATACAAAGATGGGAAAGTTTTTGAAGTTCTCTTTATTCCAGCAATAGCATCTTGGCAGAGCTGGAGACCAGCCTCAGATCCCTGGATCTTTGGGGAGCCATGTTCTTGCCCCTTCAGATTTTTGTTCTTGAATTGTTCCTTCAACTAAATAAGTAACCACATATCTTTCCAATAGATTTGTGTTTTTTCTTAAGTTGACCAGAGGCAAGTTCTTTTGCTTGCATTCAAAATATCCCGTCTTTCACAAAGCAGTCAAAATGGCATGAATGGCAGCCTTGGTTGTTGAAGATACACTTTATTCTAAGTAAGAACATTTGCTTTATTCAAAAGTACCTCCAGATCATGCCTCAAGTTATAGTGCCCCTGCATTTACCACCCAAAGAGGGAGAGGTGAAGAATAGACCCTGTCTTGTCTTTGTTGGGTAAGTGATTTTTGAAATTTGGAACCAGGTGTTTAAGAATTTTGACTGGATCTTCAATGTCACAGAAACCCAAAAGTTCAGAAAGACAACCCAGGATTTCATATCTTGCGGGATGAAAAGTAAATCTGAGGAAGTAGGATGTTTTGCCTGAAAAGGGTGTTTACACTTCTACAGATGGATGTGGATATTTAGAGGGTTATGGTGGGAAGAAAAGAGATAGAAAGGGACTTTAGAAGATATGTTCATATTGGTGCTCACAACATTATTCTAAAAGTCTCTCTTTCTAAGTTTAGCTTTGCTAGAAATATTATCAGTCTCCCATGGAAGGATGATCATCTTGTGGACAATAAAATTTTCCAAATTCTGCTGTCCAAATGTTCTGTGCTTCCATTTACATTATGTCAGGTCATCAGAAGCTGCTGCTACAGAGAAATAAGTAATGGTATCAAGTTTCATTTTGATACCAAACACTCAGGGCGTATTGTGGATGTAATACACATTTTACTAATCTCAACACATTTTACATAAACAGCCAATGCCCCAGGAAAACGAGTGCCAAAGTTGATTGGGTAGCTCATTCCATAGGGGTCAAAGGTAAAACAGTTCAGCAGTCCCTAGCACAGACAGCTATAGAAAGCTGCTCTTACAAGATCTAGGGTGATTGGGCAATGCTGGGAAAATGTCTTTATTTCATATTTAATAAATTAATAATAAATAAAGGAAAAAGGTTTTATTTTACTTTAATTTGAATTTGAATCAATTTGGTTAAATTTTGAGTGGCAGATAGGTAAGAATGAATAAGATAATTACCTAATGGGTACTGAAAACAGTTAAGCACTTGACTACTAGCCAAAGGTTGACAGTTCAAACCCACCCAGAGGTGCTTTGGAAGATAGACCTGATAGTCTGCTTCTGAAAGAAAAAAACCATATGGGGCGGTTCCACTCTGCATACACAGGGTCACCATGAGTTGTAACTGACACTACAACAATTAACAATAATAATATGTGTTTTGTTTAAATCTGTAATCTCTCTATATTTTTTCAATCTCTGCTTTATGATAAACCCAGTTTTACTCTTAAAAATTATGAAGTAGAGTATATAGGGTTCTTATGTGGAACTCAAATTGACACCATAGACCCAAGATTCTTACCAAGGTCTTGGAACTCCTGAGACAACAGCTCTAACTTTAAGCAAAGAATCTAGTAAAATAAACTCCTTCTTGAAAACTGTACTCAAGAATCTAAACTAAAGAGGAAAACATAAGCATCACTGAGTAAAAGGATTCGTATCAATTTAGTTCACCAGTGTTAATTGAGTACAAGGGTTTCCCTTACAATTCTAATATTTGCTGGTGTAAAAAGGACAACTAGACAGAAATCTGATAATTTTTATCTGTGGTAGTTCTTTTGTAATTCCTATATTAGGCTTATATTGTTCCTGTTAACAATTTTTGTGAAAAAAAGTCCTATCGTGGGCTTTCCCCTTAATACACATACAGGACTATTAGGTAGGGATAGCTAGTTAAATTTTCAAGTTCTTTGTAGGTTAGGCGAAGCACAGTTGCTTTGTTCATAATAATAGCTATTACTTACTTACTTTCCCAAAGCTTTACTGTATTATTTCATTTAATCCTCATAATTGCTTTTCAGACAAATTATAAGTGCACTAATTTCACAGGTGAACAAACAGAATACAAAGGGTCAGAAACTTGCCCAGAGTCCAAGAGGGAGTTAGAGCTGGAGCTGGCATCTCACCCAGGGAGACTGGCTCAAGTGCAGGCCTTTAACTTCATTGCTACCAGTTCTCTTTACTCCTTCTCTCAATTACCCAAGAGATTTATTTTAAACCTATGTTAGAAAAATAATGTCAAACCATAGCAATACTTATTCTTAAAATTTGAAGGGAATTCAAAATCAATCATGAAACCCCAAAATCCCCTCTGTTATTGGCTGCTTTCTCTAGAGAAGCAAACTAGTGAAGATTATACATATATATATATATATATATGTATAAATATACACATATACATACACACATACACAAGCACACACGTATATATATGTACTTATTTCAAGAAAATGGCTCACACACTTGTAGAGGTTGGGAAGTCCCAAGTCTGTGTGTCAGATATCAGATGTCAGGTTGGAAGCTTCTCCTGACTCATGCAGCTACCTGTGCTAACAAAACCAAGATC